CCACAAGGGATGGTTGTGAGGCTTTAGGGCATTAATAAACCTGGAATATTCTAGGAGCATCCTGAGTCCTCCGAGAAGCTGCAGCCAAGAGGAGAGGCTCAGAGGGTCTTCCAGGGACCCAACTCACCTTCCCCAAAGGAGAAAGTGGCCGTGATCAGGGCAGTCCAGGGGAGGGACGGAGTGGGGACCACGGCTCATGAGCCCGTGGTGAGTGGGCATTTCACCTGCACTCTACTGCCTCTTCCCAGACCTGGCCCTCCCAGAGGATGTGGCTCAGTCTTGCTAAAGGACAGCAGGAAGTGGGGCCAGACAGGGCTGGGTTCAAGTCCTTTGTCTGCCATTTACCAGCCACATGTTTGGTGTAGCTGTTGGTTACCTCGCTGCTCTCAGCCTGGCATCTGCAGCTTAGAGGAAGGCCCTGTCTCCCGGGGCTGTGGTGTTCGACAGTGTGTGAGGCCCAAAACAGAGCGGCCCCTCAAGTGCAGAGCCAAGCACGCCCCAGGCCTGGGCCCCGCTGGGGACAGCCGGGTCACCCCATCACGGTCCTCCCTGCCTCTCTGCACCGAAGGAGGGACTGGAGAAACGTAGCTCAGGAGAAGGGCCCCACGTCTTGGCACATTCTGTTCCCCCTGCTCACCATGCTGTTCCTGGCAGACTTCTCTCTCCTCTGGGGCCTTCCAGGCTTACGTCTCTCCCTCTTTGTGAGGCAGGGCACTGCAGCGGGGAAGCATGTACGTGATCAGGAGTCCACTGACGGGGCCACTGAGGCCCAGAGAGAGGGAGCGATGTGTGCTGGATCACGCAGCTGGAGGATGAGAGCTGAGATTCCACTCCAAGCCTCTGCTCCTCCTCCTGGCACTTAAGTCCTTCCCCCAATCCATCCCCACACACATGCCCAGCACAGACCCACCTCGGGGCCTTCGCCCACTCCATAATCCCAATCTGGGGTTACGGTGCCCTCTCTCTGCCCAGCTGGATCTTACTGAACTTTAAGTCCCCTACTCTTGCCATCCTTCCAGCCCTGTCCTTAGGTTCTGAAGCACACTGTCCCCCTGACCTGCCTCCTCATCCAATTCCTCTTCACCTTTCAGCTCACCTGGGGATGCCCCTCCTTGGGGGAGCTCCCTGTGTTCGGCTAGACCACCTCCTCTTCGGAGCCCACTCCCGGAGGCCGCCCCACTCCACCCGCTTTGTGATTTCTAGCTCAGTGTCTCTCTCCTTCCCCAGATGAGGGCTCTCAGGGGACTTGTTTACACATGTCGCCTCAGCACCCAACACAGAACCTGTGGCAGACCGGGTATTCGATACCGGCTGTCCCTGCACGGCACCCATCCAGCTATCCTTTCATTCAGCAAATGTTTATTGAGCAACTGCCCTGTGTGGGGGACCTGGGATACAGCAGTGGGAAAACAGGCAGGGCCCTGCTCTGACTCAGGTGACATTCTAGTGACAAGTATGCACATGTTCAAGCCAAGGGCCAGTGGCATAGATGCTACAGAGAGCAAAGAGTGGGGGAAGGGCCAGCCGCAGTGGCTCACACCTGTAATCCCAGCACTTTGGGAGGCTGAGGCAGGCGGATTACCTGAGGTCAGGAGTCACCTCAGGATCACCTGAGGTCACAGTGAAACCCTGTTTCTACTAAAAAATACAAAAATTAGCTGGGCATGGTGGCGGGTGCCTGTAATCCCAGCTACTCAGGAGGCTGAAGCATTAGAATTACTTGAATCTGGGAGGCGGAGGCTGCAGTGAGCTGAGATCTCATCACTGCACTCCAGCCTGGGTAACAGAGTGAGATTCTGCCAAAAAAAAAAAAAAGGGGGGGAGGGGGAAAGGATGGGGAGGGTCATAAGGGAAGGTCTCTCTGAGCAGGTCATTTTTTTTTTTTTTTTTAAGAGACAGGGTATTGCTCTGTCACCTAGGTTGGAGAGCAGTGGCACCATCATAGCTCACTTCAGCCTCTATCTCTGGGGCTCAAGCGATCCTCCTACCTCAGCCTCCAGAGTAGCTGGGTCTATAAGCGCATACCACCGCGCCCAGTTGATTTTTATTTTTTGTAGAGAAGGGGTCTCGCCATGTTGCTCAGGCTGGTCTCAAACTTCTGGGCTCAAGCGATCCTCCCGCCTGCGTCTCCCAAAATGCTGGGATTACAGGCATGAGCCACGATGCCAGCCACACAGGTAACATTTGATCAGAGCACTGGAAGAAGCGAACGGGGGACTGATGGAAATATCAGAGGAAAGAGTATACTGGGGAGAGGGAGCAGCACATGCAAAGGCCCTGGGGCAGGACTGCACACGGCATGTTGCAGGAATAGCAAGATCCATGAGGGAGTTGGGGGGCAGGAGCCGAGGTCTGACAGGAACAAGCTGGGGCCACTGACAGCGCCCTCCCTGACCCGGGGGGGCAGGAGCCAAGGTCTGACAGGGAACAAGCTGGGGCCACTGACAGTGCCCTCCCTGACCCTGAATGCCTGAGAGTCATTGCAGAGCTCTGGGCAGCGGTGAGAAAGAGCTGACTGAAGTTCTAACAGGACCACTCTGCTACTATGTGAAGAATGAATTCCACAGGTTAGAGGAGGCAGGGAGACCCACGAGGAGGCTGCTGTGCCATCCAGACGGGCAGTGCCGGTGGTGCAGTGGAGATGGAAGGAAGGGTGGATTGCTGAGATAGAGACAGAGGAGGAGTTAAGGGTCAGGAATAATCCCAAGGTTTTTGGCCTGAGCAAGTGAAGGGCAAATGGAGGAGAGAGATTTGTGACTGGCTGACGCGGAGCTGCCCACTGGCCATCCACGTGAAGAAGTGGCACAAGCTGTTGGCTGGACAGGTCTAGGTTTTGGGAGAGAAATCCAGGCTGGTGTGGGCACCTGCTGTATGAGTTCCCATGTCCTGCACACAGTAGGTCCTCAGTAAATGCCTGCTCATTGGGCCTGCAGGGGACACATTACAGGCCACAGCCCAGCTCCCAGCCTCCAGGAGAGTCGTACAAGGGGCCTAGGGCCAATCATAGAGAGCCACACCCTGAGGGGCACGTGGGGCACCACCAGCATTTCTCGGGTGGCACTGTGGAGGGGGAGCTGGGAAGAACTCTTGGGTGAGGTGGTGGAAATCTTAGCAGATGGAGATGGGTGTTTTGGGAAGGCGAGAAAGTGGAGGAAGAAGGCCCAGCGGAGCCGAGGTTAAGTGGACGGTGCAGGAGCCCAACCCTGGTTTCAATCTGGGCTCTGGGACTGTGAGCAAGACACTTAACCTCTGAGGTCTCCATTGCTGACAGGAATGCTAACTATCCCCCTTCATGGGTTTGTGTGGGGATCAAATGAATTAATCCACGGAAACTGCGCTGAGCAACACGATGGCAGGTGCCCCATAAACGTCAACTGCCTGTTAGCGTTGCATCCAAAGCTGCCTGCGAGGATGGACAGATCACCGGCAGAGGGGAACAGCACATGAGGCCTCGGGGACAGGAGCCGGGGGCCCAGAAAATGAGAGGACTTCATTCCCTTTGGGCGATTGGAGTCATGGAAAGTTCTGCAGAGAGAGGAGTAGATGTTCCTGTCAGTCCTTGATTAGCCTCTGCCTGTGCCCGGCTTGGTCCGCCCCCTCCCATCCTAGGCCGGAGGGTCCTAGCCAGCAACCTGCCTCCTGGGCCCAGGACACACTCATGAAGCTAATGCTTGGTGAGTCCAGGTCTTCTGAGGCCACTCATCCTCACAGCAGTCTCACGTGTGAGGCCGGTCCTATTATTATTATTGTTGTTTGACAAGTGAGGACACCAAGGCACAGTGAATGTCACACAGATCAATGTTGTCTTGCAGATAGCAGGTGACAGAGCCAGGAGTCAAGCCCAGGCTGGGGATTCAACTCCAGAATCCACACTGGCCTCTCCCAGCTATGAGAATGGCCTCGGAGCCCTTTGAGATGCCCTCAGAGCCTCAGATGCCCTCAGAGCCAGGCATGGTGTGACACATCCAGCACTGCTGTTCTCTTAACAGGCAGGGTGGGGGCCATTGTGCCCACTTCCAGGGAAAGAAGACGAAAGGTGGTGTGACTTGCCCAGGGCCCCGAAGCTTGCCTCTGGAGCAGCTGGGACCTCAGCCCAGGTCTGGGACATCCCTGTGCTGGGTGCGTGGCAGGCACGACACGTGGAATCTTGCACCCGAGCCTATTTCAGAGGTGAATAATGAGGTTCCCTCAGCCTGGAGTTATTTCTGAGGTCCTCGCTGTCTTTTGAGGAGGAAGAAAGTGTATTCCCCCTCCCAGGCCCCTAAGCTTCATGTCCCAGGTCCCTTTACTTCTTCTTCTTCTTCTTTTTTTTTTTCTGAGATGGAGTCTCCCTCTGTCACCCAGGCTGGAGTGCAGTGACATGATCTCAGCTCACTGGAACCTCCGCCTCCCGTGTTCAAGCAATTCTCCTATCCCAGCCTTCCAAGTAGCTGGGGTTACAGGCGTGCACCACCACTCCTGGCTAATTTTTTGTATTTTTAGTAGAGATGGGGTTTTGCCGTGTTGGCCAGGCTGGTCTTGGACTCCTGACCTCAAGTGATCTGCCCTCCTTGGCCTCCCAAATTGCTGGGATTATAGGCATGAGCCACCGCGCCCAGCCCCCAGGTCCCTTTACTTCTGTTCCTCTCTTGACTCTCTCCTTTCAAAGAGGTTTCTCATCCCAAGAAGTGCCTCGCCCACCAGTCCTGGTCCCGCCCTGCTGACAGCCGGTCATCCCCTGAGCCCAGCTAGGAGACTGAAAACCTTTACTGCATTCTCTTAAGGGCTTCACAGCCAGGAAAACCAGCCAAGGGGAATATAGTGTCTGCAGACCGGTGAGGTCCAGGGTCGCTTCATAAAAATGGATTCCTGGAAAAACATAAACCAGCAATTTACCCTGTGAATTTTATTGGCCTAAAAAAATAAAAAAGCTATCTCATTTGAATAATGAAGAGAGATAAACCATTCCTAGCTCCTCTTTTATTAGTGAATAAGGACACAAACACTCAACAGAAACGGAATGCTCACACAAAGCTTCAGGTCTGATTTATTAGCCACTTTAGTTTCATAAAACTCAGCATTTCTATTAAAATAAAATGATGTCCAAAAGGTTTGCTTGTTTTTAAGAAAATTGCATTTAATACAGGGCAAGACTTTGTTATGGTTTTTTTTTTTTTTTTTTTTTTTAAACAAAGCTCAAATTCTCCTGACTTCACGCCTGTTACTACAGCTGGAGGGAAACCGATTTCAGAATCTATCTGATATGTCGGATTTCTTTGTGGCATCCACTTCATCGCTCAGCAGCCAGCCATGATGTCATAAGCCCATCAGATTTCCGGTAGGGGGAAAACGCTGGGGAATTGGAAAGAATGGATGTTTCTTACCCATCAGGAAGGCAGGGGAAGAGGCTGGGTGTGTTTGGGAGGAGAAGCCGCGTGGCTGGCGGGGGACAGGAGCAGGCACAATGTTTGTGATATTAAATGTCAGGCAGAAACCTGAAAACCCCAGCTACCCAGATGTTTTCTCAATATCCAGATGTCTGGCACTGAGCAGACCGTGCTCCCGCCTCCCAGGAGGTGCTCAGCGTTTTGGGCTTTGACCTCAGGTCTCCGGTGAGCGCACAGTGCCAGGAGCTGTATATCCTCGCGGCTGCTCACCCTTGGGTTTGGGATTTTTTTCTAAATCTTTACACATGGATGACAGGAGTAACTAGGTCCAGATTTTAAAAGCTGTTGAAGCAGTGATTTGAGAAGTTCAGTCTCTGGAACGCTATGTAAGCCAAAAAGGAGGAAAAAAAAAAAAAAAAAAAACACCCTCAGCCAACACACACACAAACATATGTGACTCTTAAGCCATAGGACTTAAAAACCCAAAACAAAACCACCAAGTCTGAGAACCAGGGCTGGAGACCGACACTGAGAAGCGCTGAGCTCTCCCCCAAGAGAATGCTTCCCCCCAAATCAGAAAAACACCACACAGCTTTGTTCTTCCTGACAAAGCCCCTTGCTTCCAGGGAGCCGACAGTTGCCAACAAAAGCACAGGGTAGAACTCATTTACACGCAGACTGGGCTTCAAGGAGCCATCAAGTGCAGAAATGGAAATGGCTTTGCCTGGGAGCCCTGCCTCCCTGCTACTGGTAATGGGGACCCCTGGAGCCTGGGGGAGCCCCGCAGGTCACAGATGGAGCAGGGTCCTGGCCTCCTGGTGGCCTGGCTAAGCATCTGCCCCACGGAGGCCACCACCTAGGCTTGTGACATCACAGCTAATTGCTCCTGAAAATGAGCCAGGAACTGCAGGCCCCTCAGGGCTGCAAGCCTGAGACTTCACAGGGAGCTGTGAGGAGAGGCAGCTGGGGAGGGGCCATCGCCAATTAAAACCCAGAGCTCAGATAACAAGAAGTGGTTGGGGGGGGGGGACAGTATCGTCTCTGGTGGGGAGAGGGCAGGAGGAGGTGGGGGTGTGGAAGGGGCTGGGGGGCGGTATTTGTGCCTTCATCTCCTACCACAATCCCCACCCCCAGCCTTTACAGATGAGGACATTGAGGCCAGGGGTGGCTGAGTGGCCTGCCCAGGGTCACCAGGCTAATTAGCAGGACAGCCAGTACAGGGAAAAGAAAACACAGGTCTGGCACTGCACAGGTCTTCCTGAACTTATCTAATTTAATCCTCGAAGCACTCTGTGAGGGAGGGATTATCCTTAACCTCAGTTTCCAAAGAAGCCAGTGGAGGTGCAGAGAGCTTAAGTAATTTGCCCAAGGCCACACAGCTCATCATTAGCAGAACTCAGCCTGACCTTCTGTTCACCTGATTCTGAATCCTGTACTCTTTCTGCTGGGTTGGGGGAGGCAGTTGAGGTTTAACTGTGAATTGTGAATCTGATCTAAATACATATTTAAAATGCAGATCCCCACAGAACAAAAGGGAGTCAATCATTGTAAATTAATTTTTTACAGCCATTCCAGGCAGCAGGCTTGCTGGCCAGGTGGGTGGGTGGGGAGGCTGCTCTTATTCTGTCCTCGCCAGAGCCTGAATAAAGCAAGTTGACTGTCTCTCTAGCTGTGCGTGGCGGCCACTCGAAGCTCCTGAAGTGGGGCAGTGGGGGGTGTGCGAGACTGAAGAAAAGCTTTGTTAGGCATCTGCAAGGGCTTCATCTGCCCCAGGAAAGGTGCCAGGCACACGGGTCCGATGGAGCCAGGGGAGGGAGGATTCACTGTGTATAGAAACCATGCAAAAGAAAAAAAAAAAAAAGAATCAGTCCCCCTGAGCCAGGTTCCTAATTTCCAAGTGAGTTTCAATGAGCTGTGGGTCAACTGAGCAGCAATTGCTGGCTCGGAGACCTGACTCTGGGTCAGAGCGGTGCTGCCCAGGGACCTGCCCACCAGGATGGGGGAGGCCGGGCAGTCACTGTGGTCCTATATCCCAGCTACTCTGGGGGCCCCGTCGGCCACCACCTTCTCCCAGAGCAGCACTTGAAGGAGACAAGTCTCCAAGAGATGGGACAGAAGAAAGAGGAGACAGGCCAGTCTGAGCTCAGGGAACAGGACTAGCGCCTGCCCTGGGCCTCGCCTGGCAGGTCCACTCTCCTTGCAGCCGGCCAGCCTTGGCACTGCAGTGGCCAGGCTGTGCCAGGCCTCTCCCTTCACAAGGCCTGCTGGTTTCTTTTACTTTGTTTCTGTGAACGGCAAATGGGGTGTGGAGCCCAGGACTCGGGCCAGGGAAGAGGAAAGAAAAGTTTCTGCCATCTGGATGCCTGACCTGGCTGAGCCGCTCCTGTTTTTCTGGGGAAATCCTACCCATCTTTTATTCGCTCTGCCTACCATCCACCCAGAAGAGATTTGGGTCCTGCCTTCATGGCACTTACAATCAATAGAGGGAGCTAAACATTGACCAATCAATGGCATAAAAGTGTCCATGGAGGGGGTGGTCCCATGCTATGAGAGTCCATCATAGTGGAATCATCAAGTCAGGGAGGTCAGGGAAGGCTTCCAGGAGGAGGTGACATTGGTGCTGGGGCCCAAAGGATGAGGAGTATTAATTGTTCTGACTCACTGTCATCCTTGCAGAGTCCCTCTCTGATATCCTCCTAAGGTCACCTCCCCTCCCCATACCCTGGTCCCCTTCTTGACTTTCTGTTGTTCATCTATGTCCCTGCCTTTGTCTGGAAGCCCTCTGAGGGCAGAGGCCAGGCCTGTCTTAGTCACTGCTGAATTGCGCGTGGCCGGCACTTAGTAGGTGTGCCAGACCACCTGTGGTGGTCTACACTGCCTATTTGTGACTATTTGTTGATCAAAAGAATAAACGACATGTGCAAAAGGCCCTGTAGTGGGAGAAATCCCAGGACAGGAGGATGTGGGAGTAGGAACGGGGGCAAAGGGACAGAAGGTGATGGGAGATGAAGCTGAGCCTCCCCAAGAACCTCCCTAGAAATGCGGGTATCTCCTCCAGCCAAGGGAAAACCTTCTGCCCTTGTCCTGTGGCAGATTCTGTGGTAGGCTGTCTTCCTTCCCCAAGAGGAGAGAGTGTGGCATAAATACTCTGCCCCACCCGAAGCGCTCTAGGCACAGCACCCCTGGGCACAAAGCAGGTGGGCACTAGCACCCTCTGCCCAGTACTCTCGGCCACCAGCTTCCCTCCTGCGTTCATTCTCTCACCCAGTGCTGCGGGGTCACCTGGAGCCACAGAGAGGCAGTGGGATTCGCCCCCAGCAGATCCAAGGGTCTCAATCCAGGGCTTCCCTGAATCCCAGCCCCAGGTCTCACCTGCACTACCCCCATGGCTAGCACCCTTTCTCCTCACTGAGGCGGAGGTGGAAGGAGAAGAGGAGCCAGGACAAATGGGGTTTGAGTCCCCCGGTCTTATTACCAGCGTGGGACGGGTGCCAAATTGGCCTCTCCGCCCCTCAGCTTCCTCACAAGTGAGGTGGAGACTCCTCAGGCTTCCCCGGGGAGTGAGCGCTTGGTAATCCCGTCTAAAAGACTCAGAATAAGCCCCCTCTGGTCTCGCTGTCGCCCCGAATCCCTCTCCCGCCTCAGCTGCAGCTTCTGCAGCTCCCGAGGAAGGGGGCACCCGAATTCCAGCCGCTGAGGCTGGAGTTTGGAGTTCGCCCAAGGAGCTTCTGCCCTGGGGGGGGCGACTGAGACCCCACAGGTGGGTCCCGTCCCCGCCCCAGATGTGAGCCTCGCCCCTCGGAGGCGCGGCTCCGCCTACGCCCAGACCCGTCCTCCCAGCCAGCCAGCCCACTCAGCGCGCTCTGGCAAACTTTCCGCGTCCAGAACCCGCCCGCGTCTACACCTGCTCGCGGTTCAACCGCAAGCGCACGTCTACACGGTCTCACCTGCCCCTGGGTTGCTGGAGGGTGCCTCGGTCACGGGTCCGCGTCTCCACAGGCTCAGCAGCTGCGAGTCCCCGGGACTGCCGACCTCAGCCTTAGGGATCCGTCTTGACCACCCCCGGATTCGGAGGCGCCCCGGCCGGACCACTTGTGCTGGTCTACACCTCCTCGGCAACCCCGGGTCACCGGAGATGCTTCGGCTCGAGGGCCCCACCTGCACCACCCATGGCTCTCGAGACCCTTCAGAGCGCGGACCCGGCCGAGATCCCGCGGAGCCGCTGCGCGTGGCCGGTGCCCGCGGTCGCCCCCGGGTCCCGTCCGCGGCGAAACTGCCGGGGCTGCTTACCTGGCCCGCGCCCTCACGCTCCGGTCCGGGCTGCGCCGCCGCCACTCTCACACATTTTGCGATATCGTCGATGGCGAAAGAAAACGTTGTAAATCCTCCTGCGGCCACGTGGCTGTCCCCCCACCCCCTTCTCCCTTTCTCTGGCCCTCAGGACAAAACGGCCCCGCGGCCGGCCGCTGGCCACGGGGCTCTAGGCGGGCGACGCTGGCCGCGGCGGGGCGTGGTCTGGGGCGGGGAGGGCGGGGCGTGGTCGGGGCAGGGGCGGGGCGCGCCGGTTCCGGCCGCCCTCCCCCGGGAAATCGGGCCTGAGACTAGGGCTCCTGTTCCAGCTCTTGATTGGTCGGTCGGCCAGCAATACTGACGTCTGATTGGCTGAGACAAAGAAGAGGCTGAGGCCGTGGGGATGGGGGTTTGTGGATTTCATTCTTTGCCTTTTCGCTCTGGCGGCGACCGCTGCTCTTTCGGACCTTTCTGAACTCTGCGGCCTTTTCCTCTCTGCTTCCGTGCTCCCTATCATAACGCTACCTGCATTTCCCTGTCCTTCTCTACCAAACAGTACCTGGAGATAGGGACATGGGGTTCGTGCTGCTCACCACTGTCTCCCCAGGGCCTGGCACACAGTACGGGCTCAAAACGCGTTAGTTGAATGAATTAGTGGAAAACATGCATACAGGTGTTTAGAGCTATCTTTAATGTTGGCAACATCCCTACGAGATGATATTACTATTCTCTCCCATCCCTACGAGATGATATTACTATTCTCTCCCAAGGATGAGGAAACCGAGGCGCAGAGAAATTCGGTCACCTGGGAATGAATGGCTGAACTGATGCTGGGACATGCTTACATCGCTGGATCTCAGATCCTCTACACAGCGATGCCCTGTGCAGTGTCAGAGCTCAGTTTCCCGTTTATCAAGAGTGTTGTGTTAGAGCACAAGATAGGTTAGAAGATGGATTATTACTGCCAGGCCCTGTGGCTCACGCCTATAATCCCAGCACTTGGGGAGGCCAGGGTGGGAGGAACGCTTGCGCCCAGGGGTTCGAGACCAGCCTGGGCAACATGGCGAAACCCCGTCTCTACAAAAAAAAATTGAAAAGTTTTCTGGGCATGGTGGTGTGCACCTGTAGTCCCAGCTACTTGACAGGCTGATGTGGGAGGATCACTTGAGCTCAGGAGTTGGAGGCTGCAGTGTTATGATTGTACCACTTGCACTCCAGCCTGGGTGACAGAAAAAAAAAAAAAAATCTCTACTAAAAATACAAAAATTAGCCGGGCATATTGGTGGGCGCCTGTAGTCCCAGCTACTCGGGAGGCTGAGGCAGGAGAATGGCGTGAACCTGGGAGGCGGAGCTTGCAGTGAGCCGAGATGGCGCCACTGAACTCCAGCCTGGGCGAGAGAGGGAGACTCCATCTCAAAAAAAAAAAAAAAAAAAAAAAAAAAAAGTTATTTCGGCAGGGCACGGTGGCTCACGCCTGTAATCCCAGCACTTTGGGAAGCCGAAGTGGGTGGATTACCTGAGGTCAGGAGTTCGAGACCAGCCTGGCCAACATGGTGAAACCCCATCTCTACTAAAAAATACAAAAATTGACTGAGCATGCTGGTGGGCGCCTGTAATCTCAGCTACTCGAGAGGCTGGGGCAGGAGAATCATTTGAACCCAGGAGGCAGAGGTTGTAGTGACCTGAGATCATGCCACTGGCACTCCAGCCTGGGCGACAAGAGCGAAACTCTGTCTCAAAAAAAAAAAAAGTGTCATTTCAATGAACATGCTTGAGCATGCTATACCCAGCACTGTGCTTGGCAGTATGAATGACACAGCCTCTGCTTCCATGTTAAATTCCTGGTAACCTGCCGGGCTCTTTCCCTTCCTGGGAACCCACCCCCTGTCCCCCACTGCACCCCTATCACAGGGGAAGTTGGAAGCACTCTGCTCAACCCAGGCTGCATTGCCCACTCTTGATAGTTTGGGGCATTTGGGGTGGATTTTCCCGTGGAAGGATCTTGAAGCAGACTGACTTGCCGGCTGCTGTTCTCTGACGGGAAGGGGGTCCTTGAGATGGCCCCCCAATAAGGTTCTTTTGATTGAGAGATGATGTATGAAATGGGATGGGGGAGAGGGCTTCCTCTGACAAAGGAAGGTGTAGAAGCTTCTCCTGGAGTTGGGCAGGGAAGGGTTAATCAACTAGAAAAATGCTGTCTGAGAGCCTGTCTCCCATAGGCAGCCAGATTGAGGCATGAAGAGGAGGAGCTGGCTTGATGGTGTGGTGAATGAGTTCTCCCTGCATCTGTCTTTACATGGCCTTCTTACAGGGACATCAGTCATTAGATTTAGGCCCCATCCTAATCCAGTATGACCTCATCTTAAGATGATTACATCTGTAAAGACCCTATTTCCCAATCAGGTTGCATTCACAGGTATCGGCAGTCAGGACTTCAACATATCTTTCTGGGGGACACAATTCAACAAGGCTCAATGAGGAAAGAACATTTTGATTAGAAGGGAACAGCAAGAGCAGAGGCTCCAGGGCCGCCCAAGGTGGATGCCCCTGTCACTGCCCACTGTTCTCTTGGGATTCCACAGATCCTGGTGCCTGGCAGCTGCGGAAACAGAGATGGGAGGCAGCTGACCCTCTGGACATCAGGCCTTCTCAGCCAGCCCTGCCCAGCCTGGTGCCAGAGGAGGGCCCTGCCTGCCCGCCCCTCCTCCCTCTTCCTCCCTGGTCCTCACTCCCACCCACATCCCAAGATGGACAAGGACAATAAAAGCTGTTTCATAAGCAGCTGGTGATTAATTGCCAAGTTAATTAAAGAGGCAGTAATTGCCGTCTGATTTCAGAGGAAGGAGTGATGTCTTGGACAGGGGTGGGTGGTCAGCTTAGGTCTCCCTGACAAAGCAGAGCCAGAAGACAGAAAGGATTTGAAAAGCCAGGAAGGAAAAACAGGTTCACTTATTTTTTAATTTTTTAAATGGTGTCTTGCTCTGTCTCTCAGGCTGGAGTGCAGTGGTGGCACAATCTTGGCCCACTGCAACCTCCACCTCCGAGGTTCAAGTGATTCTCCTGCCTCAGCCTCCCAAGTAGCTGGGACTACAGGTGCATGCCACCACAGGCCACCAATTTTTTTTTTTTTTTTTGACGGAGTCTCGCTCTGTTGCCGGGCTGGAGTGCAGTGGCATGATCTCCGCTCACTGCAACCTCTCTGCTCACTGCAACCTCTGCCTCCTGGGTTCAAGCAATTCTCCTGCCTCAGCCTCCCTAGTAGCTGGGACTACAGGCGTGCACCACCACACCCAGCTACTTTTTGTATTTTTAGTAGAGACAGGATTTCACCATGTTGGCCAGGCTGGTCTTGCGCTCCTGACCCCAGGTGATCCTCCTGCCTTGGCCTCCCAAAGTGCTGGGACCACAGGCAGGAGCCACTGCATCCATCCAAAGCACCCTCTTTCTAAAGGTGCAACTGTTGGCTGGGCGCAGTGGCTCACCCCTGTAATCCCAGCACTCTGGGAGGCCGAGGCGGGTGGATCACCTGAGCTCAGGAGTTCAAGACCAGCCTGGCCAACATGGTGAAACCCTGTCTCTACTAAAAATACAAAAATTATCCGGATATGGTGGCATGCATCCATAGTCCTAGCTACGTGAGAGGCTGAGGCAAGAGAATCGCTTGAACCTGGGAGGTGGCGGTTGCAGTGAGGCAAGATAGCACCATTGCACTCCAGCCTGGGTGACAGAGGAAGACTCCATCTCAAAAAAAGACAAAACAAAACAAAACAAACAAGGGGGTGCTTCAGTCATAGCTGCAATATTTCATTTGACAGAGTCAGATGGGAGACTTAGATGCTTAAGCTTATCTTTGTACTTTTCTATGTCTTTGAAATATTTCATTAACATCCACACACATACAAAAATGGCAGGGGAGAGGTTAAGTGTTTCTAAATTCTAGTTTGGGATTTATAAATGGCTTCAAATACCAGTGTGCCTTACTTTACACAATGGAGAGGGTCTTAAAATTCTGTGTAAATTGAATCTCGTTGGCCCACCCAGTACATCTTAACACCACTGATGCTCTAGCTTCATTTCTGATTGATTTTCCCTGGCAGAGCTACCAAATTCTTTGCTTTAAGTGTCAGGCTCTCTCTGTCAAGTAGTTAATGACCTATAAAGCACTTAAAACGTACTGGAGGAGATGCGATTTGGAGGCACCCTGCAGTGTATCCTCTCTTATTGTCGGTAATCACCCCTCATTTATTTGCTCTTATTGGTTTGGAATTTGCTATCAGGTTTTCCTAAAGCTGAGCCCACCAAGAATGGTCCAATTCTATGCGGGCCCAGATGGGTGCCTGGATTGGAACCTAGGGGCAGTGGGCAGCCAGTGTGGCCTCTTTCCTCACAAGCCCTTCGGCTTGGGTGCCCTGGTCATCTCTTGGCCACACATTCAGCGGCTCTGCCACTTGCCAGCTGAGTGACCTTGAGCATTCAGTGACCCCCTTCAAGCCTCACTTTCCTCCTCCACACTGCCCCAGAGCTGGTGCCTGCCCCTGGGCAACTGGAAAACGACTGCAGCCTGGTGAGGTCAGTGCTGAGAGTTGGAGAAGAAGCCCAAGGTCAGGGTGAGCACGGAGGTCATGACCGAGGCAAGCTCCCGGGTCAGAGGCCATAGGAAGCATCCCCAAGGAGCACAAAACAGGGTGGGCCACTGACCGGGGGGCAGGAGAGCCTCTCAGAGAGGGGTCCAGCCTGGGAAGCAGAATAGGCTCTTCTAGGAGGGAAAGTGTCTTCAGTTCCTTCCTTCCTTCCTTCCTTCCTTCCTTCCTTCCTTCCTTCCTTCCTTCCTTCCTTCCTTCCTTCCTCCTCCCTTCCTTCCCTCCCTCCCTCCCCCTCCCTCCCTCCCTCCCTCCCTCCCTCCCTCCCTCCCTTCTTTCTTTCTTTCTTTCTTTCTTTCTTTCTTTCTTTCTTTCTTTCTTTCTTTCTTTCTTTCTTTCTTTCTTTCTTTCTTTCTCTCTTTCTTTCTCTTTCTTTCCTTGAGATAGAGTCTCGCTCTGTCGCCCAGCCTGGAGTGCAGTGGCCGGATCTCAGCTCACTGCAAGCTCCGCCTCCCGGGTTTACGCCATTCTCCTGCCTCAGCCTCCAGAGTAGCTGGGACTACAGGCGCCCACCATCATGCCCGGCAAATTTTTTGTATTTTTTAGTAGAGACGGGGTTTCACCAGGTTAGCCAG